ATTGCTGGTGGGCTGAAGTCTCCATTTCACCCCTGTGCTTGGATATCAGCTTCCACCGAGTGCTGAGCTTGGGAGGTCCAAAATCACCCTCCTGTTTACACAGTTCAAGTTGACTTCTTTAAGGAGGTACAGGCTTGTCCTGGGCTGTAGGATAAGTAGTCTTGTCTATCAGAGGCCAAGAAATCTTGGGTTCCTACTTGTCAGAGCTGAGTACTTGCAAGGAGCCTGGTTTAAATGGGACCTTGCCTTTGTGAGAGGCAGTGGCTGTCAGCTCCTCAGGACACATTAACTACATGGGAACAGAGAGTCCTTTCCCACCAAGCTGCATTTTACCTGCGAGACAAACTAAATTCAGCTCTTGGAGTCTTCTTCCTCCCTATACCAGAAACATCCCACCACATCTTTCCTTTCACTTCATATTCCCTTTTTTCTGGTGCAAAACCAGACACACTTCTTTACATCAGTGAACACGGAGCAAGAGACTGACACAAGACCAATTTCAAAAGCAAGTGTTCTAGCCCTTCTGTCACATTTCAGTCAGAAAGAGAGGAGAATGTCCCTTTGGGTGAGATAGGCCATCCTTTATTCACCTTGTCCACTTAGCTCTTGCCTGTTTCTCAGAGAAACTGAGGCTGCTAGCAGTACTCATCTCCTTAAACATACCTAATTAGTCTAGGGCTGCCAGCGTGGTCCTTCCTGCACCAGATCATACTGGTACCTACACACAGCCAAGAGCTGGCATCATTAGGACAGAACAAGTCATAGGACAGCTCCTATTTGAAACCACCTCCAAATCAATGAGCAGCACTGGACACATGAAAGAATTCAGATCACAAATGTAGCAGTGTGGTACCACATATTGCAGTAAGAATTCCAGAAAAACAACTTACCAAAAGTTACAAGTTTGATGCGTGTAAACATGCTTTAATCAGGTTTTTGGATGAAGTCTGAAGCTACTGGCTTTACTGGGAAAGACTTCCTCAATGAAATTTCCATGCCTCTGTATCACACTGTGGAGTATTTCTTATGGTTAGCTAGTAAAAACTGAAAGGCCTTGGAGACGGACATCACAAAAGTAGAGCTTCAGCTTCACTGACCATAGAACTATTTAAAAGGAATTTTCAAAGCTTCTGGAAGAAAATCATTAAGTACAAAAATAGTCAGAATTCTGAATAATATTATATAATTGACTATTCATCAGAGAACAGCCTCTTGGCACTAACCACGTCCTTTATTCTGATACAGAGGAGACAGAAAACCATGGCCTTTCCTGTGCCAACTGTCTTTTAGAATAAACACCAGACCCTCCCCCTTCATCTCCACATGCTTAATAACATTAATAGAGCATTAAAATATTAATGCTAGTAGACAAGGTCTTTCATAAAGCACAGAAATGAATTCATTCACTCTAAGTCATTAGCTTAATCGTCAACCTTTTTACAGTGCAACTGATTAACATTTTCATTGTTCTTCCTTGTTTTCTTCCTTAGATTTTTTCTTCTTTGGGGATCAAAAGATCTCTGAATACATAAGCTCAACAAATATCTGTGCACAACTGTACAACAATAGCAGTCTCTAAGAGAATGGAGCAAAGGCTTTCACAGCTCATGTTTCAAATATACTGCAGGAAACAACCATTTAAGAACCACTTTTATTTGTATGTTTAATGTGATTATACACATTCATGAGTCCAACGATCTGCACTGTGACATTAAAGATACAGTACAATAACATTCAACATGAGGTACTTCATATTTATATATATCTGTCCTTTATAAATAATGCTGTAAGCCTACTAAGGTCAAACACTGCTCCAGCACAAATGGGTGCTGGGACCTGAAGTTAGCAGAGTTTATCACAACAAATAATACCAGAAAAAATAATCATCCCAAAACAGTTCAGTGCAATATGTGTGTAAAAATTTAAAGTATTTACTTAAATACTACTTTAGATATGCAGAAAGTATATGACATTATACTCTCTTGTCATAGATACCCCTCACCAGGAAAATCAAACATACAAGTAGGAAAGATGGCCAAATACAGTTTAAGACAGACTCTACAGGAGGATCTCTATTGACATTATGCTCACATTCCAGGTTGACATAGCTGATGCTTGCAAAAATGTCAATCAATGGATTCAAGCTTTAGCTCCCACTAAACCAGCCAAATCCGCATTTAGACACCTATTTAAGTGCCCTGATGCCCTAAGGTGACTGTCTAGCCACCTTTTTTATCTACCAGTTCTGTTAGCACTGAGTAGTGATCTGAATCAAGCCACACTGTAAGCACCAGAAAGTGTTTTGTGGTGTTATTCACCCACGTTGAAAAGCTTTACATGCACCAGCTCCTAAAACCTGGAGTGGACTCAGAGGAATGAAGCTAGAGGTTGCTTTCATCCTACTTCGTCAAAATGATTCCAAAAAAAGTAGCAAACAAAACCAGTAATTAAATAACAGCTCATTTTCTATATAGTATAGCTGCATGGCATTCTGATCAACTTCTCCAGCCAGTGAACATAGTAGATACCTCACCTTTACTTGTGAAAAGTAAAAAAAAAAAAAAAAAAAAACTAAAAAAAAACCACACCAAAAACCAAATTAAAAATGAGAATCCAAGGCTAACTAAACCAGTGCAGTATTCTGATTTGTCCCACCAGCTGAGGCACTCAATTTTTTCCAAACAACTCAGAATGCTGCTTGCTACTCCAAGTGACTTGTCAATCTGATCATCACCCCGAGTAATTATATCTACGTCAACCCCTTGCTGCATGAAAACCTCATCAGCTGATTAGCGTCCTTCTTGGCTTTCAAATGTATTGAAATAAATGGAACTGCTGCTCAGATGTTGTCTAAAAGTAGATGGCCATTACCTCATTACAATCTTAGGAGTCCTCTTTGCAGTGTCTTCAGCAACTCTTCCTCAAGTCCATACAATTACACTCGTCTATTTTGGGCTGCAGATCTAAATATAATTAACTGGAGGTTTTTCAAAATCTCTCTGGGAGCTCTCCACACAGCATTCTGTTCAGGTTTCACTAACAGTCTGGATTATGTACATCTGTTACAAAAAAACCAAAACATTTTTCTATATATTTTGAGGGCATTTACATTTCAGAATGAACATTGCTTACACACACATACACATATGTATGTATGCATATAAAACATTAAACACTTAGATGGGTGAAAAAGCCTAGATCTTGCAGGGCAGTTTTTTACCTGTCTCTCCTTTTATTACCTAGTAAGAAGATCTGACTTTGGCCATAAAGTGTTTTGATGCCTAAGCTCCAGTTTTCCTTACTTCACATAGTATTTTGGGCACTGCAAAGATGTATTGGCACTTTACAATGGCCAGGGGCCAGGATTCCAACCACCAAGAAACACTTAGAGTAATAGTATTAAACTGGTAAGAAATCATATGAGAAAAACATTTTTATTACAAAACTGACAAGTGAATTTAGTGTTATGCTGCATTAATGTGTTGGCATACTGTAACATTAATCTTCAGTCTGTCTAAAGAATCATTTGGTCCTCTCATTTCGTTAAAGCATACAGAACAGAACCCTTCAGAGATGAAATAAGAATGAGATGCTTTACAATAGGTAGTGTCCCTCTGAGAAGCAACTGTCCTGATGCAATGGGGAAGGATTAAGTTCAAACAGTACCTGTATTTCTTAGTTATACTGGCTTCCTTCCCTGATAAAGGAGTCACAATGCCTAACACTTTTCCAAAACTGATACAGATGTACGACATGAACTTCAAAGAAAGACAAAACAAAAAAATCAGACAAGGAGAAGTTCTGCACCACATAATCCTCCAGCTGATGTGTAACCATAAGAGATCTAATACTAACGAATACTAACATGTTAGAGAAGAATTCCTCCTCCTCACTGTTATCTGATGATAAGCACTCAGTGTAATATGACCACACCTGGGAACTTTCTTGTCTTTGTCTAAATTTCTGCTGATTAATGTATGGTAATAAAAAGAAGAAAACTTGTATTACAGAAAAAAAAGTCCAAGTCAGGATTGATCCATTCTTTTGTTCCTCTGTAATCTGCCTCTACCATGTTTAGGAAGAAGAAAAAAAAAACCCTACCCAAACCAAACAAATAATTATCCTGCATCAGATAACAGATATTATTTCCCATTTACTTCGCAAGGGTTCAGAGAAAAGCCATTTAAATAGCAAATCAGCTTCACTGTAGCAAAAACTAGGTTGTGGGAGTAGAGTTTCAAGAGCTGCATAAGCAATTTGAACATGTGCAAGCACTTCCTTGCCTTGGAGGTGGGATCCCTAGAAAATGCACTGGGAGGGTAACTTGCCAAGCCCACACCTCCCCCTCGCTGTAAACACGTCCGTGTGCTGTGGACACGGTCAGTATGCTAGGTAGCCTCCCAAAAGCTGCTTGCTTCTCTCCATCTTCCCTGGCAGCCACCCCAAACACAGGTGAATCTCACAGGATGAAGGTTTAAACCTATGCTTTTCCTGCTTCCAGTTGAAGTGCTCCAGCTCTCATGACCAAAAGGAGCTCAGTTTATGGGAGTCTCTTGTGTCTGAAGAGCAGACAGAAGAGAGAGCTATGAAACAAGGCTCCTTGTTTTCTACCCCTATCTCCCCAAATAATTACAGGCAGAAAGCAGGAAACTGAGAAAGAGAAAATGGATCAATGAAGACATCATTTAGTGAGATACAAGAGGGGGACATCCTCTGGTGATTCACGGGTGCATGAAAGAAAGGGTCAGCATCACCAGCAACAGGCACCTCTCCTCCAAAGCCTTTAAAATTTGCTTGTTCCTAGGAGCTTCCAGTTTAAATATTACACTTAAACTTTATTACCAACGATGCTACAAGTGTAACAAGGCAGTAACTTGCCCATTGTTGGATTACACATTACCTGTACTGATCACGTATCTGCAGATAGAAAGCTAAGCATCAGTAGGCCTGAACCAGACAGGTTCCTTGTAGCAAAATGCTTCATCTCCACACGCTTTCATTCAAGCATAAAATATGAGTTCGGGAATTTGCCCTCCCTGTACCCCAGTGCCGTTTGTACTGTCCGAGGAGCACTGAAACTGCACAGTCACCTTCCCACACTGAACCTCCGTCATCCCCTCCTGTCCAAAATAGCTGAGTTCGTTGCCATCCAGAATCACGCTAGCCGTGTAAAAGGTGTCGGGCTCGATCTGCACGGGGTACTCGAACCACACGGGGAAAGTGTTACTAGAGCCATCTGAGAAGTACTTGCTCAAGTTCTGGCCCAGGATGACGCCCTGCCGCTTGAGCTCGATCTTGGCGCTGTACTCCGCCGAGCCGCAGCTGGAGCCGTAGAGCCCGAAGCCGGCGATGAACACCCTCTTGTCCACGGCGAACTGGATGCTGTCGCAGCGGCCCCGGTAGCGCCACTGGTTGCTGCGGTAGGCGCAGGACTGGAAAGCGGTGGCACCGCTGCGGGCCCAGCCCCTTCCGCGGCTTGCTGACGAACTGCAGCTCCGGCTTCTTGGCCGCCGTGTACCAGAGGAAGATGTCGTTGGTTTCGTTGAGGGTGAGGATGCCGGACTGAGCGGCGCCGTTGGCGAAGTCGTCGAGCGCCATGGTGGGGATGCGGATCAGGTAGAGGGCCTTGCCCAGCACCTTGCGCTTGTTCTCGATGGTGGCCGCCAGCTCCTGCCGCTGGCACTCCACCTCCGCCCAGCTCAGGGCCGCCTCGAAAACCACGATCTCTTTGGCGTTCAGAGTCTCCCTTCGGAGGATGCTTTCCAGCGTCTGGAAATCAATGTCACAGAAGCCCTCGGATTTCAAAGCCAGCTCAGCCTGGGCGTCGATCACCTCCCAGCAGCGCTGGGTGAGGTCAGGCTCCTCGAAGAGGCAGCTCTGGGACAGCAGGACGCAGGCGTTCTTGGCGCTCAGGCTGGTCTCCAGGAAGTTGACGCAGGCGCGGGCGAGGTGAGGGACGATGTACTTCTTGGCAGCGTAAAGCGTGGCCAGGACGGTGTCTGCAGCCAGGTCGATCTCATCACAATAGATGTATCTGAAATAAAACACAGGCACGTGACACTGCCGCCCAACGCAGAACGTCATCTGTCAACATCATCTGAAAATCACAAAGAATACTGAAACGGCTCCCCAGTAAAGCCAAGCATTGCTTTTGAGGAACACTGATTAAATTCAAAGTACAAAAAATGAATTATCACTCGTGTAAGAGAACAGGCTTAAATCTAAGGGGGACAAAACTTCACATTCGGGGTGTACACTATGTAGACAATGGTTATATTTACAAGCTATGGCCATTCCAGCCTCTGTGTTCCTCCCATACATGCTTTGGATAACAAGAGGGTATTTGCCCCAGGCAGGAGCTCCTTCAAGGGCTACCTGCTTGGTTAACACAACAGTCTGAAGCGTGTTACCATGAGCATTTGGACTGGATGCTCTGTGATAATAAATGGCCATTTACTGAGGTATATCTATAAATACAGAAATGAAAATAAGTTCATTGGGAATACCTAGGTAGTCCAAAGAGAAATGACATCAAAGTATAGCAGGTGCTATCCATTTTCATAACTACTGGGTTGGGGTTTTTTATTTTTTTTTGGCTTGGATTCCTTTTGTTTGTTTTAAACAGGGTGCTGAAGTATATAGGAAAATGAAAAGGCCCAGAATTCTTATTTTCAGGTTCCTTAATGCTTACAACATCTTAGCTCCATTAGCACAGTGTTTTTTCTTAGTCTCATTGCATAAAGAGGAAAAAAGCTTTACTGCTACGCTACTGTAGTGGAAGAGACGAAGGTGAAATTCTATTTTATGTGACTAAACTGCTGGGATTCATTGCTCAGAGAAATGAAGCATTGTACAGTTTGTTCTTTTTAATATCTCATGCTTCAGGGCCCCATTTGCAGCTGGTGAATGCAATGTGCTAAAACCATGCCAAATGCAATTTTACTCTTCATAGGGATAAGCAAGTCCTGATGGTTATGGTTGATAAAAGTGTCTTCCTCCAGTAAAGCTGAAGTTGTATACAACTCTGTACTAATTAAAATTTTCTAGTTAGAAGGTTTCCCAACACAATGATTTTTTTGCAGAACAGATGTGCTTATAAAGTATCTGATCTATGCTGATCCGATTACAGTTGTAAATATCTTTATTTGTATATTTGCAGATGTAGGGTACTACCCTCCAAGCCATGTTTACAAAACTCATTCAGAGCAGATACTGTTCAAGCAATAAAATAAAATCTAAGAGGTTACAGAGAAAAAGAATACTTAGAGAGATCCAAACCATTTCTGTATTTTTTTTTACCTTTCTTACTTGGTTTCAGCTGGGCTATTTGTATTTGGGTATTTGGGCTATTATCAGAGAGCAGGGTACTACCCTCCAAGCCATGTTTACAAAACTCATTCAGAGCAGATACTGTTCAAGCAATAAAATAAAATCTAAGAGGTTACAGAGAAAAAGAATACTTAGAGAGATCCAAACCATTTCTGTATTTTTTTTTACCTTTCTTACTTGGTTTCAGCTGGGCTATTTGTAACAACAGAGAGCACACCTACATATCACTGGCTACAGGCTTAGCTCCTTTATGGTCCAAAAAATTTTCAATGTATCAATTAATTTATTTTTATGATTGTCCTCATTGCTCTCCAACACTTTTCTCCCTTCTATTACTTCTCTTTGCCTGCTAGTACAGCAGAGAACAATGACATCTGTTTTAAATTGTAGTACAAAGGTTGCTAGCTTAATATTCATGGCAGTGAAGAACTAATATCACTGATTTACAACAGCCACAGCACAGATTGTCTGTCAGCAATACTCCACACTTCTCACTCTGCCTTCTCACTCTGCACCTCGACTCTGGTCTGCAATTACTGACATTCCAGCTTCACCCTGTTCTTAAACAGAGGATTCTACTAGACCACAGGGTTTGATGGTTTAGTAACACATTCATCCTGGGATAAGATGAGACCACGGCTCTAATTTGGACAGTCAAGATTAAGATAAGATATAATACATTAAAGACAGTGTGTCAGCCAGACTATACATTTAACCTTGTTTTTAAAACTGTAGAGATCAGCCAAAGGAATTTTACTGGGAGAAACACCAGTAACTACCAGTCAAGGTATTATTTCCTATTACATCTGGCAGTTCCTCATCTGATGTCTGTTGTCAGAACACCCACTAGATCATAAAAGAAAAGATATTTATGCTATAAGAATTCACTGTTCAGGGGAAAGAAAACACAAAAATACCAACCAACCAACTCTAAAAAAAAAAGAATCAAACTCAGTGTGTTTTCTGACAAAGATTACAATGCATTCCTCCTGCCTGCAGAATGGAGCGTATGAAGGAGAACGTTGCATTGGGATAGGTAAAAAGTGTCTTCCTTTGGCAGCAACAGCATCATGAGCCTTCTGCCATCCACTGCTCACAGCAGTTGCAGGCAGCACTCATGAGGAGGGGACCATGGCTCCCCTCAAGCTCCACCCAGTGCAGCACACGCCCTGGATCCTGGGATGAGGGGAATGCTGCACTGCTGAGCAGCATCCCCTTCCCTTCCCTGCACCACCACGGCTGCAGACACCCCTGGCGTTTGCAGCCACAGGAGCACTCTGCAGGGTCAGGCGCACTGCATCGCTGGAAGTCAGCACTGGCAAGGTTACCTCAACATCCACACAGACCACAAACTTCTTCTGGGCTTTTGGGTTTTTTATATAAAATCTGAGAAGGTGAAGAGTTCCATGGCTCTGGTCATGCTAAAACACCTTGATACTCTCTTTACTAGGTTTGCTCTCTGAAAATGTTTCTTAATGATAAATTCAGAAAGCATTCAGGTTTTATATGGCAAATCATGTTTAGCCACAATGAAATATATTTGCTGTTCAGAAAGGGGGGCCAGGGGAAATCCAAGAATCTTGTATTTGTGCCTTGTAAAACTCTACATGAAAGTAAAGTACAAGTCTGAGCTCTGCAGAAAACATCAAAACAAGAAAGGCCCCAAGTAAGGATCCATAACACACCTACCTACACAATGTCGTATCTTACTTTGTATTCCAGGTCTATAGAACATTTCCATGACTTCAGCTTTTCCTGACAGTTTTTGATAACCTAGATGATAACCTATAAGAACACTATGCAACAAACTCTATATCTAACTTTGAATGTTCAAGGACAGTGCCACTGAAAAGTAAAAGAAAAAAAGAAACCATTCTGTAATCAAAAGCTAGTCAAAACAGTCTAGGAACTGCCAGCTAGTGATGACACCATTACATGCAGAAAATCTGCAGCATACTAAAAGGATCACCATCAGATACTAATGTATATTCTTTATCAGAAAGCAATGGCAGTTACCTAAAGCTGAAGGGGAAAAAAAAACTCAAAGCCATAGGATTTCTATGATTGGGCATTTCTCTTTAATGCTCAGAGTTTACAGATACAGTCAAGGACAATTTCAGCAGGGAAGCTGCTTCATTATGCTCATTTAGGAAAAGACTGCGTGTCTTATTCAGTTTGCAAGAAGAAAAATAATGATCATGTAAACTGACTGGTTTTCCCTGTTAGAATAAAGAACCACCATTCACATAAACAGCCTTTTTATCACTTTCCAAATGCATCAACATGATAGATGAGGAGAAATTTAATTTTCAGAGGCTATATTCAATAACTTAGAGTTGTTTTTCTAAGACAAGACCTGCATACAGCATGGTTATAAAAGAGCTGGAATGATGTCAACGTACAAATCCAGCAATTCTGGGTTTTGTTTTGGTTTTTTTTTCCTCCAAGTTTTTAACTTTTCACTATGCTTGCAAAGTAGAACAGTTTTGGGTTTTTTTTTGTTATAGCTGACAATTCTTTTTAGTAACTCCATTCCTTTGTGTAACGTGTAGTGACAAATCAAATCAATAGGCATTACACTATACAATGTGCCCAAAGATCCCCTGCCAAAGTCATTATTTATAACTGCCTACATCAGTCTAATATATGCATGCCTGGAAGGAAAGGGGGAGAGCAAACTGAGGTAAAAGTTTAAAACACCTGAAACACAAGAAGAGCAATATTTTAAGCAACTGCTTTCTTTCTGTTTCTACAGAAGTCTAATACTTGAACTTGTGACATGACCAACGTGTGTACAGACCCTAAAGGAAAGCATATCTAGCAGATGAATGATGCTTACTTCAGCATGGCAAGAAAAGCAGCAGGCTCAACATCTGGTATGCGGATTTCATCCTTGTCCTCAGCAAGCTCCCCGTAAAACATCGCGTGGAACACAGAGCTCCCGACAGCCAGGACATACTGGTGAGAAAGGGAAATCTTATTTCATGCTTTAAACCAAAGGCACTGCCAACAAAAACAATGTGGGAGAGCCACTCATTGCAGACTGGGCTTCACTGACAGACTCTATAGACACACTTCAGTAAGAAACCGAGTCAAAGTTAAGAACAGAATTACACATTTTTCCTGCATTTTACTCTCATGGGCATATATACATTAGCTACTGGAAAATGCTCATAGCCACCATGGAAGTTAACTATTTCTGGAAAATCTCGAGAGTAATATTAATTAGCAGCACAAAACAGTATTCCTAACTTCACGGTGACTGCCTTAGCACAAGTGTACTATTTAAGTGACAACACAAAGAACAGCCAGGACAGACCCTTCCACTGCATGCAGCCTTGTCAAATACAGCATTTCGCCTGTCCCAGAAGAGCTGAGCCTCCCACGCCAGGTCCCAGCGTAACTGTGGGAGCTCTCTCTGGCTGTCCCCACCCGAGCTGACAGTGCAGCTGTTGCTTACTTTGTGTCCTGGCAGCCGCTGGGTCCCACCTGGTGGCCCGACCACAAAATGAACATCTGCCATCAAGTCATTGTTGAACATCACTGCATTTCTACAAACAGAGGCAGCGTGTTAATTTATGGCGTCCAGTAACTCCGTGCTCGCCCCAGACCAAAGAAATTACATTTCTGAACAACGTAAAGTGGCACGTTAGCAAAGAGGAGCAGGTCATACTTGGATTTTAGCTATTTTACCTATCATCAAACATACCAAAATAAAAACTAAACAGAGATGGGGGGTGTGTGTTTGCAAGCTAAACAAAAAAAAAAACCAACCAAAAAAAAAAAAAACCCAACAAAACCAACAAAAAATAAAACCCCAAAACTTATAATAACTTTTAAAAAAGTGGATATCAAAGTCAAGAGCATGTATCAGTGAAAAAGTCCCCTAAGGTCTAAAGGCAAATCTTTATGGGTACACTGCAGCTTCCAGCAACATTTTTTTTTAACTCAATACAAACAGCTGCACTGTCTGGAAAAGAGATATTAAAATATTTTCCATTACCAAAATGCTTGTTTCACATACATGGAAAAAAGAGAGAACTGTGTTTTCTTCAGCAAATAACTGAATAGCTAAACACATGCATTACAAACATTTAGCTACTTTTCACCACTCCATGGAAACAGCAAAAATAAACTGCCCCCAACTTACCTCTCTCTGATGGTTGGATAAAGTCCTTGCCAGTTAGGTGCTGGAATGGTGTTGTTGTTATTGAGATTTTGCTGGTGGTACTGCTGGACAGCAGTTGTATTAGTGTTGGCCGGTTTCTTTCGGGGAAAAATATCAGCAGCCATCTTCTTCTTCTTTTTGGTCTTCAAGGTAATGATTTCATAGCAAACCGGAGGCAATTTGCTGCTGCTACTGCTGCTGCTGTTTCCCTTCTTAGAGTTCTTCTTGGACCTGTTCTTGACGGTCTCTGGAAGCATCAAGAAGAAGGTGAGACATTTCATGTTCTTTCCTTTCTCATCTACCATGAGTATACTTGTGGGTAACGCTGGACAGCCTAACTAGCCAGGAACATTCAGAAATGCACGTGGAAGCTGTTAAGCAGAGAGCAGGAGAGACGAGAGTTTGCTTCTCTTCCAGCAATACAAGGTGACCTTCCCGGTGCACCGAGTCAAAAAAAAACCCCAAACAAACTGGCTTTAAGTTTGATCCAGTGCTTGAATCGTTAAATCCATCCCCATTATTCCTGCCAGCTTTCTTTCTGCCCAGAGCTCCCGCTGAGGAGTCGCCGGGCAGAGGCCGCGGCTGAGGGGGCGGCAGGAGGCGCGGA